CAGTGCGCAACAGAAGTTGGAAATATGGAGCATTGGATTCTGACCCACTGGCTCAATGGTAACGTGCTGGCCGCGGAACCTGAAGGTCGCGGGTTCGATCCCTGCTGGTGTGGGGTCGTGGGTGCGCACTGCTGAGGAGTCCCATACTAGGACGAAACAGCTGTCCAGTGCTCCCAGGTTTCCTTTGTTCCTCCAACTGATGTCAGTCTTCGATGAATAACAACTTGAAATATTTCCAAATCTCCACGACCCCCTCAAAAACCAAATTAGTTGTCCAAAGGCGAAACAATTATACCACCCACATTTGAAAAGCCATAGAGCGCCGAACGAAACAATAATTTGAAGCTGTTTATTCAGAATGCACATTACTATCATAATAATCCAATATAAATCATGTTTCACAAGCCTGGAGCATATAAATGTGGCCAAAAAACACAAAAAAGAATCGGCACCTAAACAAGTGATCAAAATATCAAATTAATCTACTTTTAAATGACCTTCAAGGGTTCATATTTAGACGAAACAGAGGTGTCTGTAAGAAATAAGGCAGGAATCAAAAATCAGTAACTAGTTTAAGCAACTCATAATTAATAATAATTTTAATTTTAGCTTGTGTCAAGTACGATGAAATATGTAGGTTACTTGTCGGAAAATTATACTGTGATTGTACTTTTCTTCCATTCCACAAACAAACATTCCGTTCGCTTCAAAGAATCTAGAAAATACATCTTACAATTGTGTTGTTGAGTAGACACTATTAATCACTCTTATCACTGGCTCTTATTTTTTAAGTTATTTGAAAATAATATATTCCAACAATGTTCAATCTTGTTTTCCTATTTTTACAAAAGAAACTATCACCATTCCAAAGAGGAACTAACTTCAAAGTTTAAAAGTCAGGAATTGATAAACACATAATGTTAAATTAGATTTTCTGCATTAGTTCAGTGTCATTATTGCAACTTGTGGAAAACAGTAAAATAATAATAATCTGCTTATTATTTGACTAATTTATGCATGAAATAAGTGTTCACTTAACAGCTGGGTGAAATTTAGACTTGCTCGGTAGATGGGTTACAGAGATCATTAAAAGTATGTTTGTCTCCTAACAAAATCCTCAGGTTACTGGTTCGAGCGGAGTCACGAACGAAGTTTTCTTCCAACCTTCAGTTATCCTCTTTATATTCATATTGATATGGAACAGTGGTTGGCTTTTCTTTATAATTTACTGCATCATATCTAGCATACGCTGGACCGATGAAAAGAGTCTAGAAGATTTGGATTTATCCACCGATGATGATTTATGTCTAATGTCTTGTGGCACAAACTCGAAGATCTACAGGCGAAAACTAACAAGTTGACAGAAAAGGAGGGGCAGCGAAAACGGGACTTCAAGTGGGCATAGAGAAGACAGAGTTGATGAAGATACCCAACCAACAACAGCATTAACAACAAGAGGCACCGATCACCATCAACGAGAGAAACCTAAAGGAAGTAGTCTCGTTCACCTATCTGAGAAAGATAGCATCGTTTGAAATACAGGTGGCGGTGTCACAGATGAGAACGTCAGGACCAGGATCGGAAAGACAGCAAGACCGGCATTCCTTCATCAACCTGAAATCAGTGTGGAGATCTACTGCACTGTACTCCACTCCACTCCACTCAGCATAAAGCATGAACAAGATCCAGATTTTCAACACTAAGTCGGTGAAGTCAGTGCTTCTGTGTGATGGTTGAGAGACTTGGTTTGTCACGAAAACCATTTCCAACAAATTGCAGACATTCATCAACAGCTGTAGCCCACTCTCACTTTATATTGAAGATGAGATTAGATGGTGATAAAGAATAAGCAAGGAGGAACTCTGACCTGACAATGAACCAACCAAGAACCTACCACCCAACAAATATGCAGAAGAAAGTGAATATGGATTGGGCATACACTGAGAAGGCTGACTGGGGACATCACCCACCAGGTCAGGTCATCGAGTGGAATGGAAAGGGGGAACGGATAAGTTGGGCGTCCGAAGGGATGGTGACCTGGAGTAGATGGTGTGAGGAAGAAATGAGAGGTTGTGGGCAGTCGTGGATCCAGGTTTTGAAGACTGTAGAGAAGAGAGTGCAATGGAGGCGTGCTACTGAAACCCTATGTTCCACTAGGAACCCTCTGTAGTGACTTTTATTAATCGAAAAGCGATTAACACTGTCATTCATAGATGTCATGTGGACTCCAGTTTTGTAATTAGTGAACCATTTTGGTATAAAGCAAAAAAAATGAAATGTGACTCTTGGAGAGCAAAACTAAGAAATCAAAGGGGAATATGTTTGAAACTAACTGACCATCTAGAATGAAAATATTTGCATGACAAGTTATATGAAATTATATTTTGAGGGAGTTGTGGAGATTTGGAAATATTTCAAGTTGTTATTCATCGTAGACTGACATCAGTTAGAGGAACAAAAGAAACCTGGGAGTACTGGACAGCTGTTTCATCCTAGTATGGGACTCCTCAGCAGTGCGCACCCACGACCCCACACCAGCAGGGATCGAACCCGCGACCTTCAGGTTCCGCGGCCAGCGCGTTACCATTGAGCGAATGGGTCAGAATCCAATGCTCCATTTTTCCAACTTCTGTTAGCTCATGATTTAGCTCAACCGCCACCCAATGTCATCGTTGAGTATATGTCCTCACGGCCATCAGGCTTTGACTCCACCGGTCACGACTTCAGCTGTCCAATGCTCCCAGGTTTCCTTTGTTCCTCCAACTGATGTCAGTCTTCGATGAATAACAACTTGAAAGTTATGTGAAGTCAAGATGGCTACAGATCACGTGTTATAAACTTTTTAGGAGAGTAAAGCTTAGGCACTGCAGCGGAATGTAATTCCATATCAGATTAACATCATACAATGATTAAAGCAGTAAATAAGTAGGTCAAACTAGTTGATCGCGGTCAGTCAGGTTATCGGTGTGTAGTAACTCAGGTTAAATAAGAATATTAAACTTTACTGAAATCAAAAATCTGGAGAAAAAATACTAGTTTTGCAACCTATGAAGTGACAATCACACAGCAGAGTAGGACAAAACACCAATACTGATATATTCTATAAGAAATATATCCAGCCTAATACAATGGAAAACGATATGCATTCACTACTAAGCTTAGATTATGACCCTCTACTCTTTATCCTTCACCTACTTTCTTTGAAATATTCTAGCTGCATATTATATTTCTACATCGTTGATTCCATAATCAGTGTACTATTACTTTAGGTACATGTATGTTAGTACTCATGGTCAATATTTGTCACCTGTGCCCTCTAAATATCATTGTTTTAATTAGCAAAAATTTTAATACAGAAGCGTAGTACCGAGAAAGTAGAACAAAATATGCTTTGCATATGTATATTTTCGAAACAATTTCTCCTTGAAATATATAATTTAGGATTCTTCTAGCTATATTTGTGTGTGTTGAGATTACTGTGATGATATCTGGTTAACTGTATACCATAGTCGTTAGCCAAACTCAAAACTGTAGCTCATCACTTGACCAAGTTGGTAGCAACGATTCTTATTGGCGAAATGAATACCTCAATACTTGTAAAGTTATGGAGACCAATGCGCGTACATATTTGGGTAATGAAACCCACAGTAGAACAAGAGCGTTAGTAAAATTAAACAACTCTGTGTATGCATGAGATGCCACGCTCTTACAGTAGAGTTAACCAAATATGATTTGAAGCTTAGTAGATGGCAAATACTTTCTTACCAAGTTGACTGTTCTATCCGTTGTCACAAGCAGATAAGGTGAAATTTTAAAGACTGCACGCAACTTGCAGCATAAAGTGCAACTTATTTTGTGCATTTTGGTTTTAATTAAATTTGAACTCAGAATTCAGCAAGGTGATCGACCATCATCGTTATACTAACCTGCAATGCATTCGTGAGATGATGTTAATAAAGGTGTCTAATAAGAAGTAGCATGGCTTTCTACTAGCAGTATCATGCACTAAATGATTTGAAGTTGTTTTCAACTGGTGCTTTTAATAAGAATTCCCTATCTGACTATCATCTAATATCCATAGGGATCACCTCACAAATTTTTTAATGAAATTCATGCACACATAAAGCACTAGCGTAACTTAAAGTCTGTCATAGTTCACTTGATTGCGATAATTATTCATTGATATAACTAGACAAGAAACAAGATCGGATCAGACTTCCATGAGAAACTTTGAGATTATTCGATTTCAAACCGACATTTCAGGTTAGACCACAGTAATTAGTGAAACTAGTTAAAGTGGTAACAAGTACACTTTATCGGAAAATGCATGAGTGGTATGGTTAATAACTTATGAATAAGTGAGAAAATCCAATTACTCGATGAAGGTTACTTAGCACTGTTTGATTGTTATTCGCATACACAGTCTTTTTGTCTGTCACACCGTCGATAAAATTCAGTCGGAATTTAATACTAGTCATTCTAGCAGTAGCTTTTCTAACACTGTAAAAGGATATTAGATGAATGATTTCCACTGCCTACTTATAAACTAAGGAGAAACAACTCTCAGGCAATCGTAGGGATTCAACGATGAAATATCCTTACTTTCAACCAATGTGTAAAACAAAAAAATTTAGCATACCTAACTCAGCAAGTTATTTATAAAAGCACAATCACTATGGTAATTGTATTCTTATCTATTCTTTGCTCATAATAGGAATTGAATTAAGCATACGCCTACAATGTAATTCCATAAGAATTCAACAATTCATTTACAAGTCACCTGACTAAAAAGAAATGGATAGATTTGATGATGTTTTAGACAAGTATGAATAAGATTGTTAAATAACTCGAAAATGACCTAATGTGCTTTCTTATTATAGAGTAATATCAATTGAAGAGGCACTGAAAGCTGAACAACATGCAACAATCAATGCACTTCACCTTGAGACCCTAAACAAGTAACATATGCCTAATTATTCGAACTTAAAGTACTACTCAGTAAAGATTTCAGTCATATTTATTTCAATAATTGTATTTTCATTCACTTTCCTGTTGTTATTATGATTATTTTTATGGGACGCTGCATTAGCTAACAATCAAGGCAGAGGGAGACACGCAAAGAAGAAGAAAATGATGAGAACAGTAAAATCCTTATAAAAATCTACTAGGAATATTGACATAAGGATAGAGAAAGCAATAATAAGAGCAAGAATGAACCGTCCCAATTAACAAGAATAATTCATCAATGATAAAATCGTCAAGAAAAGTAAGTGGAAGAGTTATTTGATTGGAAAAACGATGAATATCTTCCTCATATCATGTCTGATCTTTAAAATTTGTTACAAGGGAAAAAAGAGAAGAAAATTACTAGAAAACACCTGAAAAATAATAATTCATCGGAGAAAAAATGGAGAAAGAATGTAATACTATGTCTCAAAAGTGGTACAATAGTGAAAAATTATTGCGTGCCCACATGCAATTATATTAAAGAGTAAAGGTATGGATAACAAGAGAATGATGGAAGATAAAAGGGCTAGTGCAAAAAAGAAAGAATTTCTGCAACATATAAGACATAAATACCAACTGTAGAAGTAGTTGATAACATGAAATGCACATAATTTGATACAAATATAAATTTAAAAAAGGAGTCAATACTACTTATAGCAATGGTAGTAGTAAGCGATTTCAGATTCCATAATAGTATCCTTAAGTAAAGTGAAGTATATATTTTAAAACTTTCTTCTTACCATAATTTTCACGATTGGAATCAAAAGATGAACACAAACCACAAATAAATGAAAGCGGTATGTCCAGCGGTCATGACCACCGTTACATATATATATAGGTAATAGAGTTATTTTGAAAAAGAAAGTACAAATGGTTTTAGGAAACTAAGAGAAGGAGAGGGGAAGATAGAATAAGAAATGCAGAAAGCATTGGAGCACAAATGTGTACAAGATAAAAATTCTATAAATTTTTTCTGTTATCAATAGAACTGATGTTGACTTCGATGGAAACAAGGACTGAAATTATATAAAGACATAATGCGAAAATGCACATTTAACTACCGATCTCGGGATAGTATTCATTATGTATATTATCTAAAACAGAACTTCAGAGTGAAGGAAAGTTTTACTTGCTCCAAGAGTGGCAAAGTTTTAATAAGCAGTGTAGAAATGTTAGTGTAACGAGTGCCACTGCCATCTTAAATTATACAAATGGATAACAACATCAATAGTAATAATATACTGATGACAAAGACAGTATTTGAGGTCACTTGAAGCAAACTGTTTACCTGTATTTTTACCTTATAAAAATATACCTTTGTATTGATACCATCTTACACAAAAACTTAATGAGACATAATCAAGTTATTATTACTCACTGTAGTTCATCAACTTCATTTCAAAGTGGATGAGAATAACAATTCCCGACTTTATCTACACATTGACACAAACACAAATGTTGAGGTAAACAAAACGAATGTTATCTAAGGGAAAGGTGAGTGAGAGAAAGATAATTTCTGACAAGTACCTTTTTCAGTTACAATAGAACACTGTTATAATGAATAATGGTGTTAAGATATACCAATATTGTTATGATCATGATCATTTATTTATTTAGTACATAGTGACAAGCAAACGAAAGTAAGAAAGCTTACCATACAAGTTAGAAATTAGTGCATATTTCCTGTATTACAATATTCTATTCGACAAAGAAAGAAGAATTCACACAAACAAAGAACAATAAAGAATAGGATTTTTCAACAATGAGACATTTATTTTCCTCTTTTAATATTACACTCTTCAGAATTCGTGTGAATGAAAGGCATTTGGATTTGTCTGTGTGTGCATGTCTGAACATTTCAAAAGAAAAAAAAAGAAAGAAATGTGTTACTGACACATCATGGGATCTGATGAGGAACTCAGTGTTTCACTCTGCTGTGGATAAGTTACAGGGAAAGATGTCTACAACAGAAAAAGGAAATGAAAACCAAAAAAAAGATAAATATGAGGAGACATCAAATCAATTAGTTTGGCAAATAAAATGATTGGATGTAAATATAATAGTAAACCAAACAGAGAGTCGAGGAATACATACTGTGGCATGTGATACTTACACAGATCAATTTACTACAAAGAAGTTAAACCACTAGGTCTTTCAAGACTGGACTTTTGGAAGAACTGAGATCTGTTGTTTAATACCTTAAATATATTCGAATATAACGTCACAGTTTCATAAATAACTGGAAAAGCAGGTTTTATTAACTCCTTGGTAGATATTCATTAAATTATCAGTTAAATCTTGTATACCGGATCAAAGTCTTCTAACCAAAAAGTACAAAAACAATACTAAAATAAGTAGTGTAGCATCAATGTGAGACATAGAATTATGATTCTTGACATTCATCATCGAAATGCATTTACAAGTGAGTATTTACGATAATCTCCAACTTAGAGTCATTCGCGGTTACAGTGACTCAACTGAAATATCTCTGAAGGCGATATCAAACTACGTGAATCGAACTTTCATAAATGCTGTAAGGTAACCCAGAGTTATAAGCGCGCCATTTCAATAACAACTCTATCTTTCCTCCTAATCTGTTAATAATTACATAACCAATAAAATAAGCATTAGAACTGATTTCAATGCAGCGGACCTACTAGATTTTGAAGTTTTTTATAACACATGCTGCCAAGAAAATGTAGAAAATTCGTAGTTTAATATGAGGATGACAATAACTTGAATTTGGACGATGTTTTTTATTTGATATAAAAACTCAGAGAACATCAAACACTTCAAATAAATCTTACCATGCAAAGCATTTTCTACTCATGAATTTATCTACAGAAATATTAAATTTACTATGACCATTAATAAAGATGGCAAGGAAGAAAACAACAATGTAGTAACAAAGTTCAAATATCGGAACAAACCTATTCGATCATAGGAAAAGAGAGATGATTGGAGCGAATATATGGTAGAAATCAGAGAATATTACACAGTAATTTCCGGTTGAAGATAAGAAGAAATTGTACGACAAAGAAAGGATATGTACACTTCAAAAAATTTTCCTCTTTATATCAGTAAATCAGCGACAAACTCTGTAGATCCTTTCGTGTAGTATCTGCGTGGCAAGATGGTATTCGGTATTGAAGTTGCTGACCGTGTAGACGTAAAGCCTGTTTAAATCACGTGTGATGGGCTCATAGATAAACCTTACTAGTTTTTAAACAATATCTACAACGTTCAGACATGATGTGTCTATCGAATGCAAAAATATTATGGAAAACATCCCTAGAGCGCACAAATAATGTTTCTCAAGCACGCAGTGGAATTACTTGCACGGAAGCCTTATATGTTCGAGTTTTTACAGCCTGATTAATCTAACCATGACAGTATAATTAAGTTGTAGTAGTACACAAAACTGTTATCCTGATTTAGCGAATATTAAACTTACCAATCAACCACACTTCAACTAGCATACCCAAAGTCGTAGACTTTTCAGGAAAGTCATTAAAAAAGGTAACTCGAAGAAAAAACAGCCGTCAACCTTTTCAACGAAACTACTTTTTAACTGAGACGATGCAAAACAAAAAGGATGTACAAAAATATATACTCACGATCAACCGACTGAGTGAAATACGAGCAGATTTCAAACTATCGCTCAGTAGGAAAATATACTTAGTAAGATAAAGATCAAAGTCCTTTATGAACAACTAGTCTATATCGCCACTGACCATCCCATTCAGTCTTTGTGAACCAGATAACCCCATTTGTTCTCGCCTTTTACTTGTAATAGTGAGAAAAGACCTCGAGACACTTTATTTTCTGGGTACAACTTCCAAAACGTAGAGGACACTTTAATCGGCACTTGTATTGAGTAGATAACCCTTACTTCAAATCGTATATAACACCACAACGAGTACCAGTGTATAGGACTCATGACACCTCCCAAGTACTGAACAGAAAATGAAGACAATCAAAGCATTCTTGATCTCATCCACCTATGCACTGTTTGACATCTAAGCCGATGTTAATCGTGCTGTACACCATCCCATTCAATCTTTCCACTTTATTGACTTCCTCGGTTTATCCGAAGAATTTTTAATAATGTATCATGTTGCTTGTGATCTTTGACGAATCTCGAATTACGTCATTAATTTCATATCACGTATGACCAAGTTGGACGAATACAGAATTTTCTAGGTCAATGCGTTTTTAATTCATGATTTTTTTGTTCGACTTTACAAATTGCAGTAAATTTAGTTTGAATATTAACTTCGATAGCGAAATATATATATATATATATATATATATATATATATATATATATATATATATATATATATATATTTGTCTGTAAAAAACCAAGCCAGTGAATGAACGTTTGAAGATTCATCACATACCCTGTTGATAAAGATAGAAGAACGAAACATTAATAGAATTTCTCTTTCATTTTAGTCGCAGAGTATAGTGCCTAATTCTACTTAGATTAGACGACATGCATATGTTCAAATTTTTACAAAGCAATCACCTTAAAAGTTACCGTTACAACATAACTAAACAAGAATTATTGTTAGGGATATCTATGGGGTTAATGAACTTTGATATTTATTTGCTAGCGCTAACTACGGCTCAGTGAAAACCTGTACTAAGGCTACACTGGTACGAGCAAACAAACTGTTTTGCTGTTTGTCTCATATTCTGAGTGTATTAGATTGAATCGAAGATAGATAGCTTATCGCAAACTAAAATAACATTATTCCATTTTCATATTTATGTCTGATAGCTTTTGTCTGTTAAATGATATACGTTTAAGAATCAGTTGAATATGGACAAGTGAAAAGCAGCATTAAATGTATCTTGTTACTAACCTTTGGATTTGTGCCATACATTATTGTAAATTTGGTTTTATCTGTAACGCACTGGTTGTAAAACCAGTAAGCAGTGACAAGTTGAAGAATGATACGACTCACGTACAGTAACTATGAGTTCAGAGTGTTCGTGATACTAAACGTTTATATTCCTGATACACTATAAATCACCAGTTGCCGACGCTAGGTGACATTTTCCTGAAAAAAAATCAGTTGCAACGGTACGGATACGCTTATTTAGCCTTTGTTTATCGAAAAGGATTCATTCTTCTCCACTGGTTTATTTTGCATCCTCTAGTGGCATCAATGTAGTAATTTGAAGTAATGTGTTCGACTTAGTATTGCTTTTGGAAGTGGTTTAGTTAGTAAACAAGGGATAGACACAAAAATATCGGTGACTATCTTTTATCATCGATGGAACTTTCCGTCAAAGCATGATGTTGTTTGCAAACACTGTTAAGGTTTGCTTTTGAACAATCCTGACAGTGAAAGCTCATTCATAATAAGGGTAATTTTTTAAAAATAATATATTTTCGTTAATTAGTTTCAAATGGTGTTATACCTTTGCATGCTTCTGACAATTAGTCTCATCAGAATTAGTTAACTTTGAGGAGAGGAGTGTTTCTTCATCATTAGACCGGGACTGTAGAGATTGGTTGTTATAGCTTTGATTCAAAACTAAATCAGCATTAGTCTGTCCTGAATTTGGTTCATCAAAGCCGTGACTGAAACCTTTTGTAGAAGTCAGTGATGTAGAGGATGAAGTGAGCGAGTTTACAGTGGTTGTGCCTATATTAGTGGTAGATACGTGGGTAATTGATGGTGCTCCTCCAACTGAGTTTAAAGTGCTATGGGCTACAAAGTTTGGGTTTGCTGCCCCAGACAAAAGGGCTGTTTGCAGTTGATCACATAAGCGTTTGAACCGACGTGTTGGACCTACAAAACAGTTGTAATAAAAAAGAAATATAGAAACCAATAGTAAACTTTTCACTATATTATTTTAATAGAACAGTTGAAAGACTAACACCAAAAATATAAGATGCAGAAGTTAGAGAAACTAATTGGAAGTTTAGGATAACTGTTTGTCATATGATCAAACCTTGTGTGAAGTTGGAAGCGGTAATTTAAGGTTAGGGATGGCTATGATTTATTAGTCTGACTTTAAAGACTACCCTGGCAACTGTTGAAATAACAAATCTCTCTCGGTATTTCGGGTGGCAAGGTAGTTTTGCATACGACATAGAACCGCAATTCTTTATTTCAGCAGTTGCTTGGGCAACCTTTAAAGTCACTCACTTATTGAGATACTTCGCTATGAACATAAATAACGCGCAACTTAATTGTTTCTTATAAGACTCCAAACCGGATCTTGACACTTATATGTAACATTCAAATATGAGTGTATTTTCGGGCGAGGCTAAAAGTTATCCTCAAGTGTTATCGTGCCTATTATAGGATATAGCGTTCCGTTCTGTCAGCTGTACGCATATTTTTTTGTTATAAAAGTTTCTAAAACGCTCTTTAAGTGAATCGTGTTTCATGCCTTTTATTCAAGTGAAAAGCATTAATTGCACTTCCCCGCGCATTAGTTGTGATGTGAGTACATTTTATTTATGAGAAATGATGCTGCCAAACCAAAGTAAGTTAACTGGGCCTTCAAAGAGCAGAGAAAACGACTTATTAGTTCAGTTCTAACTTCAATATAGATGCTTAAAAACACAGAACATACGCGTTTTCACAGAGAATACTAAAAGATCCGGGGAGTAACGTTTAGCCCCACCCTTTTTTTTAGGGCGACTTTGAAGACCACCCTAGCAATGATGGAAATAACCAATTAAGTTTCTTCATTTCGGCTGAAAAGGCAGATTTCACAAAATAGAGAAGTCTGACTGGTTGTTTCAGTTTCTGCTAGGATAGCCTTCAAAGTTGCTCCACTTGTGTGAGGGCTTGCATGCTTGATGTAGAGCCCTGAAGGTAGAATAGGATTTGATCATGGGATCCAATACTTAAAAATAAAACACTTAAACTGAGTAGCCACAGATCCCTCTATATGAGAGAATTGGGTGCAATGAAAACAACAGTCAAATACTCCAAATTTAAAAGGTGATGATCATAAACAGCTGAGATGAGAAAACCCGCCTAGAATAGCGTGTGCAAAAAAATCTCCTCAATTGTTTTCCACTCACCAAGACATAGCATGACAGGGATTAGTTTCGTCTACATACTAAACTCTTTTATTTCTACTGATCGTCGAAATTTCTTAAAATAATTTACGCCAAAAGACTAGCGGAACAAAATTTAGGACTATCTGCAAGATGATTTACTAGTTTGTACAAAAAAATGAAGATCGCTCTAGTACAAATAACTGTTATCAAACAGCATCGGATTTTAAAGATTCTACCCATTGAAAAAGGGAAGGTATTAAAGAAGAGTAAACATCTTTCAGCTTCTTAAAACATTAAACAATTGTCATAGTGTTTTTTCGCGATACGTGAAACATGAAGTTACGTTACACTAACTTAAGGAGGTTAAAATCGACTGTAAAAGTGATTTCTTTTAGCCAACGACATTACCATATACGTTTGGTTGATATTATTTTTCCCCACAATACATTTGTATCAGGCTATCAAATAATCATGATGAACTTATCGCTCTTACCTGACAACAGCTGAAAGTTGACTGCATACACTTCACGTTCAGATGAGATTGAGTTGATATTATTCTGATGTCCAGAGCCTGTACTAATTCCTCCGGTTGCACGTACCATATCTACTTGAAGTTTAACTGGTCGAGCAAGTAAACTTGATCCACTACCGGCTCGACGATATTCAGCTCGAAAACTAGTAGGAGAAATCACTGTGTGCACAACACCAGGTGTCGCTAAGAAAACCTAAAAGGGATTAATTATCAATCAGAAAAAAAAACAATGGAATTGACGAACCGTAAATAAAACATCACTCGAATATGGTAAAAGTTGGTCTTGAATACTATGGGACTTGTAATGATGAAAACAATGAAAATAATGCGAATCCGAGAATTTTTTGTAACTTACATTTTATGCACACGTATACTATTGCTACGTTTTTTAAATGAGTTACTCAATAAGTTAGAGATTTAACGTAATCCTTGAAAAAGTTGGAAAAAATTTAAACACATTCATCAACTACGTGCATATTTATGCAGTAAACAATGAACCTCACCTATTGGGTGAGGGCTAATACTACTACCGGATAAGCGGAGGGGGGGTCCGGACTCGTGGCTCATAGGGTAGAAATGACCCAGAGCTCCTCAGACATACTCATATGAAGGCTAATACGACGAAAGCACAATCAAACGGAACTACGGCAAACCTCAATGATAAATAGAATACTTGTCAATCGAGTTACTGTTATGATACACACTTTTAATTACACTAGTAAGTTTAAGAATGACTAAACAGTAATATTGACATGTAAATGATTTGAGAATATTTTTGCTTTAATCAGCTGGTGTTATCATTTATTTTCATTAGATTCTCAATATTTTCAGAAATCCGTATACCTTTATAAAGTTATACAGGATAAAGGATTTAAATGAGTATGTTTGTTTTTAACGACTTCATTTCATATAAATATACAATAGTATACTATGACCTATACAAAAGCAATCTTCTAGAAGTTTACTCAATATCCACAACAGAAAAAAAGGATAGATGCATCTACAAACTTTCATTTATCATTAATTAAGACAAGCTGAAACATGCTGGAATCAATGTTAGACTGTCTGTTTCTGAGTTGATGAGCCCACAAAGTAGACAGATGGACAGACAAAATTAATGCAGAACCTCGCACACAAGTGTATTGGTTAAAGCAGCCACACTTCATAGTAGTACAAAAAGAACACATGGATAAAATTAAACTGATATCAAAGTAGACTAAGTTGTATGAGAGAACAAACAATTTGAAGACAACGGTTAATGCAAACATTCAAGGTTTAAAAGATGTCAAGGAATGTATACATCTAAACTACTGTAACCAGTTTTCAGGCATGTCACCTAGAATCCTCAACCACTGATTCTTATCGTCTCATGGACCGAAATCACGTGGCCTACATCTCCCCACACGACTCGGACCAATAATTAGGGACTTCGTTGACTGGTACCAGATCTTGGTTTGGCCATTCCGAACCCTATTTCAACTTAATCCAGCTTCTCTCTAGCATGGCATATCGAGGTAGGCAGTGGCTTGGTACGCACAGTATATATATAAGCCATATCAATCAACTAAGGTTCACAACTCCGTCAGTTAACTTGCCTGTCTTACTTGATCTGACATCGACGTCGATCACACGGTGATTCCATCACACTCAAACAAAGCTAAGAAGACATATGTGACGAAAACGCTGCAACCGCTTCATGTCGCTTACTTTTAACGGCGGTGTCTCACAGGTGTATAGCAGGACAGAACGGACTGCAGCCCAGCATATTCGTCCTGCGATAAGTAGTTGGATATCTTATCCGGAGTAGGTCAATCCCTGTGAAGTCAGACGTACCTAGGGTGGAATACACACACGGAAGCAGTCTAAAGGTCCTAACCAGTCCTTTGCATACATATTCCCCACTTAGTAACCAGTATAGGCTGACCACAAATTACTTCAAATAAAATTGACAGGTTTTCATCCACTTACATTTTAAGGTCTCACCCACTGTCGCCGTTAAAAATCGTATTCAGAAAGAGCTTTCCTCCGTACTGATTGATTTTCAATTCAGTTTTTTATACACGGATTTTTCTGGACAACTTTTATCGATGAATACAGATCTTGAAAATTGATTTGACCACCTGATTTGCCAGGTGAATAAATTTTCCGGATTCACGTTAGAACAGAATTTTTTTTAATTTCTTTTTCTATTGATGGTATGCAGAACTGAGAATCGGTCATTTAATCGCTGGGTGTGAATTTCCTATAGATGCATTTTTTAAGTATGCTACACTATTTTCCTTCTGGGAAGAGTTGATGAAATAATATATTTGAGTCAGATTTCTTTACAAAAGTGGATGAGAAAGCTATTTATTGAAAGATGCTACATTCTTTCAATCAAAGTCTTTGTTGAAGCAAAAGAATACGTAACTAAAATGTAATCCGTAAAATTAAAATTGTCTTAACAATTTATAGATGATAACATCTGAATGAGGGGAACTGAATACAGATATCATTGTGACGACCTAATTCACCTAATATTCACACTGTGCCAGGCTCTGGAGCACAGACAAGCTTACTGACGCCCGACAATAGCTGTATTTCTCGACCTGAAGGCGGCATTCAACTCTGTGGATCGAGATGTCTTATGGAAATGTCTATCACTGAAACGCGTGCCGAGTAAGTACATCACCTTATTGAAAGATCTCTACTCGAACATTTCTGTGCGTGTTAGACCCTACGGTGGGATTTCCGCGGAGCTGTGCTCGTCGAATGGTGTACACCAGGGATGCCCACTGTCTCCATTCTTATTCAATTTCATCATAGATATTCTTATGGAGGTCTCCCTCTTGTCACCTGATTACACAAACGTTGACCTAATCGGTGGAGAATTTTCGTTAGACCTAGAATATGTAGATGATATAGTCCTGTTATATGAAGATGCTGATAAGATGCAGAGTGTTCTGGACACTGAGTGGCAATTTAAGAATGTTTGGGATGCATTTCTCACCACCCAAATGCAAATTGTTGCTCCAGGATTGGTTTTCAACAGTGCCACGGCTAACAATAGAGAGTCTAGTGGTTGAGAGTGTCAACCACTTCACTTACCTGGGAAGTAGGATCAGCCGTAGTGGTTCAGCGGCTGATGAAACCTCTGCACAAATATGAAAGGCTTGGCTGGCTTTCGCCAACTTACGACACCTGTGGCACTGCCACTTTATTCGATTGGTTATTTAAGGTTGCATATACTATACAGCAGTCCGCTAAGTTCTACTCAATAGTTATGAAACATTGCCATTGAAAGTGGAAGACATTAGGAAGCTTCAAGTGTTTGACCACCGTTGCCTTCGCAGCACAGACCATATTCCGTGGTGTCACCACTTGAGTAACGCAGACGTCAGGCGTAGAGTTTGAGGTATAAGAGGTAAATCAGTTGACACGATTGTGAATCTTCATCGACTGAGATGGTTGGGACAAGTATTTCGTATGCCTAATCGCCGACTGCTGCGTCACACAATAATGTGAGAAGTAGGTTCAGGCTGGAAAAAGGCCCAAGGTGGCCAGATTAAAACGTGGCACCAATGTATGAAGTGTTTGGCTGTGGGTTTGAGCCATGTGGGGCGATGCTGACTTGACGGTTTGAGTCCGCAGGACAAGAGGAACTAGTGGTTGGAGACTCTAGATGATATGGCTCAGAACTGATGTCAGTGGCGCAGATGTATACACACATTGTCCTCATCTTAACGAGGCAATACCGTATCTCACCATTTTCTCATTCTTCTTTTCTCTCTCTTCATACTTTACATTTCTTTTGACTTAGTTTTTTTATCTTCATCTTGCACCTCACTGCCTTTTTACTTGATGCACTGATATGAGTTGTGGCAACTCGAACCGTTACACAGTAATGCCTGGTCCTACATTGATTTGGATGGAAGGATGTGTCGCCAAAGCTGAATTGTGCATCAAACGTGCCAACTTACATCAGTTGGAGAGACATTGAAAACTTGGGAGCACTGCACAGCTGTTTCGTTCTAGTATGGGACTCCTGAGCAGTACGCACCCACGACCCATCTATGAATCGAACTCAGGACCTTTGTGCTCCATGGTCAAAGCATTAACTATTCAGCTACTGGGGCAGAATTCAATGGTCCACAGTCTCTTACTTCTGTCAGTTCGCGCGACCATCATCCAAGCTCTTCGGTTGGCATCCGTTCCACGTCCGATTGGTTGACTCCACATACCACGATTACTCAGTAAAACTTCAGGATATGCATCTAGAAGCATATCATCATGCTGTACTCTGATGTGGATACCAACTAGAGACCTTGGTGGATATTCGCGCTACGTCACGAAATGAAAGAAATAGGGAAGTGTGAACTATTGAACACCAGCCCAGTAGCTTAATGGTCAATGAGTTCACCGTGAAGCCTGAGTTCTGTTCCGCAGCCGGATTGTGGAAGCATGCTGCTGAAGAGTCTCATACGCATTCATTAGAGACTAATGCAATGGTGAACTTGCCTATTTCCCAAAAATTTCGGTTTAGGTAGGTAGAAGATTTATTATTTATTACTACACATCATAATTTTGAAGTACTTCCACGATATACTACTAATCAGTCGAAAAGTACCTCTTTCTCCAAAGAAATTGAATTTAAAAAAGCATTTATATGACCTGTGTGGTAGAAAGACATTAAACCAACAGATTGGAAACAAATATCTTAAAACCAATGAATTCTCACAGATACCTAAAATATCGGTTTGGGCATCTTTTAAAAACAAATGTTGTAGTCACCAGAAATCTGCTCAACATAGATATTCGACTTGAGTGAAAGCAAGAGTTAAATTTACTTTGCTGTGGACTGTAAGCAAACGACTCCCGTGTGTATTCTGTATAAAAGAATCCTAAAACATGAAGTTGGTAATGTAGACAATTTACTTCTGTTGAAATGGATTAACATTGTAATGATTCCATATGGTATAAAATGAGATGAGAAGCGATGAGAACACTTCTCAACAACTATAACCTAAAGGTTCATTTTAGTGTTACAAATATGCTACACTGCATGTTGATGAAGTTTAGAGGCGTAATGTCAAATGAAAATTAACATAAGTGTGTTTGTGAAGCAAAATTTGATGCATGAAATGCAGTACATTTAGGGGAAACTTACAAACAGGTCAATGTACGGTTTACGGAGCATAGAAAATGTATAAAACG